AGTTAGTCATCACCACCCACCTCCAACTCTTGGACTACTATTTTACCAACGAATAGTGGGATTGACCGTCACATTATAACGCCCCCACGGCTGAAAGGGCAAGCATGTTTGGTGTGATGGGGATTTGAACCCGCGACCCTCAGATTGCGAGTCGAGTGCCCTAACCACTTGGCCAAGTTTGAGCACACCAAAGTGATCAACTTAATTTGAATTTATATCATCATGTCCTTGTTCATGAACATTTATGTTCTATTAAGTATTAAGTAAATTAAATTTGATGCGCATGTGGTAAGGTGGGACTAAAGTAAACCTGAAAACCTGTTGAAGATGGAGAAATAACTTCTAACAAAAGAAAAGTTCTTCTTGTAATACACAATATATTTTCTTAAATAAAAAAATCTGTAAGGGAATAAATCGCAGAGAATTGTTTTTTTTTATTAAGACTGAGAATCAGTTAAACTAAGACTTTAATGCATAAAGAATGAATCTCTGTTGATAATCATTATGAAGAACTGTATAAAAATGCAATAATATCTGAACTTTTAATAATAAATAATAAGTGTTGATTAGGCTTTTCGACTACACCTAATATATATGTATCGAGATACATTTTGGTACTGACATATATGTATACAGGTGTTGAGTTTTTCTTAATTTATTTCATGATTCAGCATAATTGAACCCAAATTGTTTTATTCTATAAATTTACAGAGAATTTCCTAATTATATAAACAACTAGCTGTAATTTACAAGTTACAAATCTACATGAGAAACAATATATCTTACGACGGCATCCATCTCTAGTGTTGGGGTCACCAGTGAAGCCATCTCCGCAACGACACTGTCCACGATGGTTGAGAGCGACACAATCAGAATTTGGTGTGCAAGAGAAATCAATGCAAACCTCTGAATAAGAAAATATTTTTATTTTTATAATCATATTTTCATAGAAACATCATCTAACAATACATCAATAACTGAAATAAGCACAACCTAATATTAATTAAATTTCCAGGCTTTTAACCTAATACCAAATTGATTAACATTATAGCTCGATCAGACACAATTAACTTTTATTTATATACCTGATACCAAGCACTGACAAAAAAAGTGACCCAAAACTTATGCTTACACTGCTTTATGTATAAGCAAGGTTCACTCTATTTAAATGTGAAGTGTGAGTTTTATAACCACACTGCTTTATATATAAATAAGGTTCACTCTACCTGCACATTTGAGGATTCCAAGGTCATTGGGTTTGCAAGACTGGAATGTAGGACAATGTAAGTCTTCTTCGCACTGGTCAGGTCCTTTTGCTGTGTGAGAACATAAACTTTTCACAGAATACCATATTTTCAACAAGAAAATTAAAATAAGCAAAGAATATTTCTTCCTCATTAGTAGATGGTTCAAAAACTTATATGTTTAAAAGTAACTACTATATTCTTTATTTACAAATTGCTTTTTTCCCTTAGCTGAATGCAATCCAATTTTTTATGATTAATTTTTTTTACCAATGAACACTAATCGCATTTGCTAAAATATTCACAAAGCACAAATACACGTACTTTTCATAGAGATCTGACAAGGGTCAAATTACTTACAAATACAGGCCATAAAGTTATTGGGATCTCGAACAAAGCCTTGGTCACACTGACATTCGTGATGGTGGTCCTTGGATACACAGTGGGTATGGTCTCCGCAACTGACATAACGACAAGCATCTAGACAAAGAAACAAAGTGGAGATTTAACATCAACTTCTAGAGGAGTGAAGTTAAGATGATGATGTTATAATTCAACAGGAATGTGCTAAGAAGGGAGTTATTTTACACTGTATAGCCCACAACTAAGTAAGTTTCCATATTACACTAAATACACCTATATATACATAACTTTTACCACCTACCTACACACTTTTTGATACCACTGTTGTCAGACTTGCATACATCTCCTGGCCTTGGACAGTCCTGATCTCTCTGGCATTCATCTCTTGTTGGTGCTACAAATATAAAAAAAAACAAAAACATGCCTTACATATATATAACCATCTGAATATGACAAAAAATATCCTATGGAATATTAAAATTTCTCAAAAAAAATGTTTTCGCTTGTGAAACTTTAGCACTCTGAATTAACCATTTGAAAACAGTTACTAACAAATTCATACAAATATCTATTAGATATCTTTAAATGAATGATGTAGCCAATGTTTGTATGTATTGAAGTATCTGGTGTATGACACACTTCCATTCACTACCCCTTTCCCCCACTTTATTATCAGATCTATGCTAACACACTTTGGCTTCCTTCCCTCACCCACATTCTTCATCAGATACAGGAATTGAATCTAGACCAACATGTTTCCAACTGTTATCCCCTTCCTTATTACGTTCACATTAGATTCAAGAACTGAACACATACAAGCACTATCCCTCTTGCTGTCACAGTGCTCACTAGATTCAGGAACTAATCTACAGTACATCAGTAGAATCAAGTACATATTTTACAAACATCCAATCAGTGATCAGTAACTGATTACAGAACTAGTTTCAGTAACTTGATCTTTTAATTGAGAGCGTCTTTTCTAGTCATTACCCTACGAAAGAATATTAAACACTGCCCAACGTTTGACCACATCACACTGGTCATTACCCTACGAAAGAATATTAAACACTGTCCAACATTTGACCACATCTCATTCACTAGTAGCATGATCTCTTTTGCTAGATTAGTTCCACGCATCAAAATTTGCTTGTTTGCCCACATGTTTTAAGCTATCTAGTTCATTAGATCAAATATACCTATAACTGCACCTAGGACGTTTAAGATCATAAATGAAATTAGATGTTATCGTTGGTAATTCTGCAATTTTGAAACTTTAAAAAAATTTTGTAATCTATATTTAGGTTTGAAAATAACTAGTAAACTTTTCTGTTCTGGCAGCATGAATGGCTCTTCTAATCTATTTTTAAAATCACTATTGTTACTATTTGTCTAGTATAAAATTGATAAATTATAAAAAAAGCAAGTTTTATAAGATTAAACAATATCCTATGGTTAATTACACAAAGTTATTCATTTGCTAATTGAATTCATCATCAGAGAAGGACGGTTGAAGAAGGGTTATATGAATCGAGGTAAATTAGGTTTAACAACCACACTGCTGTACACTTTAGAACCGTGACAAAGACTAGTTATTTCTGATTTGATCAGAAGGTCCTATTCCAGACCGAATACTTGCAATACGTACGTTTACATCCATTAAGCAGGTTACTGGGGTCACCTATATAGTTGGGTAAACACTCACAGTGTGCTTTGTGATACGTCGTAATACATTCAGCATTTGGGCCACACTGTATGAACTGGCATGCATCTGCAAAAAAAATATATATATATATCCATTCAAGTAAAACTAACATAACAATAGTGTCTTGTTTAGAAATACATTAAAATAAAACTAACCTATGTTCAGAAATAAGTCAAAGTATAACTACCTCACAGAAGTATTTTGATCAGAAATACATTAAAAAAATTAACCTAACAACATTTTATTGAGAAAAATGTTAAAGTAAAACTAATTTAGCAACAGAACTCTGTTAAAATAGCTTTTAGAAATGGACATATACATGTTTCGGGAACATTTACGGTTGCTTGAACTTTTTTTTTTTTTAACTCATACACTGTAGTATGGCTGATAAGTCCAATATTTCTTACACTTTTAATCATTAAACAAAATTATGTGCAGAAAGGAATGTCAGTGTTATATAGCTTTTACAGCTGGTGAAATTAGTCATACAAATATTATTTATTCTTATAAACATAAACGGAGTTGTACCGAAGCAGTCCAAGATGCCTTCATGGTTTTGTCTGCAGATATCATTGACAGAACAATCATCATCACTGTCACAAATGTTGATGTTGATGGCTAAAAGATCAAAGTAATATTAAATGTAAAACTTACACTATCAGAAAAATATATATTTTACCAAAACATATTTTAATAAAACAAAAATACAAGTAAAAGCTAGAATGCTAGCATGTACAAACCCAGATTTATTGTATTTACAAGTTCAAATTACTGTACTAAAACAAACTGTAAATATAAGAATCCAAAACTTAACATATAAAATGTAAACATAAGAGACCGGAGTATAACACATAAACCGTACAAATTATAGTACTGAAATTACCAAACACAATTTGCAAGTCTTAGAATCCAGAACTTAACACATAAACTGTTAATATAAGAGTCCAGAACTTAACATATAAAATGTAAACGTAAGAGACCGGAGTATAATACATAAACTGTACAAATTATAGTACTGAAATTACCAAACACAATTTGCAAGTCTTAGAATCCAGAACTTAACACATAAACTGTAAATATAAGAGTCCAGAACTTAACATATAAAATGTAAACGTAAGAGACCGAAGTATAACACATAAACCGTACAAATTATAGTACTGAAGTTACCAAACACAATTTGTAAATCTTAGAATCCAGAACTTAACACATAAACTGTTAATATAAGAGTCCAGAGTTTAACACATTAACTTTAAATCTTGTAGTCCAGAACTTAATATACATGTAAATGTAAAATTATTAAATCCATACATACGTTGACATCCAGATATTTTATCCTTTGGATTTCCTGTGGTACCTTCTGGACAGTAACAAATAGCTTCATGACCCAGACCTTTGCAGATCGCATGTGGACCGCACTCAGCATAAACACATACCACTAGAGTTCATTCAACAGAAACAGTTGTTAGTGTACACACTTATACAACACAAAAACTCTTACTTAGATAAATCTAAAACTTGTACAGTTCCATAGAAAATATTATATACATGATGTGAATGATGGTAAAAATATTTTCAAAATTTCACAATTAATACTTTAACGAAGGAAAAACATCGTGTCTAAAATTACTCTACATAAGAGTATTATATTCACAATTAATACTTTAACGAAGGAAAAACATCGTGTCTAAAATTACTCTACATAAGAGTATTATATTCACAATTAATACTTTAACGAAGGAAAAACATCGTGTCTAAAATTACTCTACATAAGAGTATTATATTCACAATTAATACTTTAACAAAGGAAAAACATCGTGTCTAAAATTACTCTACATAAGAGTATTATAAATTAATATATTTTCATATCATTGATAACTAGTTTAAAAGAAGTAAGAGTACACTGAGATGAAAGATGAGTGTAAAGTAAATCCACATTTATAGTATAGAGAGGATTAGTGTGAAGAAGGTAATCCATGATTCCATCATAGAGAATGGATTAACATCTTTAGATTCATCTTCTCTATGGTGGAATCATGGATTAACATCTTTAGATTCATCTTCTCTATGGTGGAATCATGGATTAACTTCTTTAAATTCATCTTATCTATGATGGAATCATGGATTACCTTTACACTAATCTTATTCCAGAATAGAGAAGATGAATCTAAAGATGTTAATCCATGATTCCACCATAGAGAAGATGAATCTAAAGATGTTAATCCATTATTTCAACATAGAGAAGATGAATCTAAAGAAGTTAATCCATGATTCTACCATAGAGAAGATGAATCTAAAGATATTAATCTATTATTCCAGAATAGAGAAGATGAATCTAAAGATGTTAATCCATGATTCCACCATAGAGAAGATGAATCTAAAGATGTTAATCCATGATTCCACCATAGAGAAGATG